TTACGTATTTGCCGAGTCGTAATATGTTATGAATGTATGTAGTATGGACCAAAGGCCTTTAAAATCAATAGATTAATCTTGAAATCCCTCATTTTTTCTTCCTTTACCGCTTCGTGACTGTATCCTTTTCTCTCCTTTGTCTGCCTCTCAATTTTTTTCGTCCTGCCCCCCCCCCTCTCACTCCTTTCCCCCTCTCTATCTTCTCTTCCCCTCTCTCTCTCCCGCCCCCTCTTTCCTCTCTCCTCTCCTCACCCCACCCTCCCCTTCTCTTTCCCCACTCGCTCCCCCTCCTCCACCCATCTCTCCTCTTGTCTCGTTTCCTCTCTGTATAAGCCACCGTATATCCAGGTAGTATTGGTATTGGCAAGAGGAAGTCGTGTGGCGAGAGCTCTGTAGTTACTCTCAGGCCCAGCCTTGAGTCCGGAATTCCGTCTTTACCATTTTAAGTACCAATTTCCCTAGTGATCCCCCCCGTCAATAACAGTTCTGGACCACTTCCCTCTCTGATTTTGTCGTTAGCGGCAGTTCTAGCAACAATTTTCTCTCTGACTCTGCCGCTTTGCGGCTGTTAAAGAAGCTCTTTCCCCCAGTCATTTAAGCCATCGTGTCAAAGAAAGTGTATGAATGTGTGCTTTCGACAGTCTACCTTAATGATGTTCGCACAAGGAGGAGGATATGGATTTGGATCTGATTTTTAGTGGACGTTTCCCTGTTGTCTGCTTTTTCTGTTGTTGTTTGGGTTTTTTAATTAGTTGTCATACCTTCCTATCGTTTCCTGGTGTAATGCCGCTGTTATTATCATGATTCAGTGTAAACTAGGTCTCAAATTGCGTCAACAGCAGTAGAAGGAACATTGACAGAAACATGGACAAACAAAAAAAAAACAACAAAAAAAACAAAAAAACTGTAACGAAGACTTTTAATACGACCACCACTAACAAGTACAAAAGCCACAGTAATAAGAGCTGCAACAACAACAGCTACAAATACAAAAACAACATTTAAAAAAAAAATAACAACAGCAACAAAACCCAAACAATTTCATCATTATAGTTATCGAGAACAACAATTACTACTTCAACAACGGCTAAAACGACTGCGTAGTTTTAATTGGACGCGAGTGTTTTCTTGACATGGCAGAGAGGTCTGGTATTGCCAGGCGTGACATTTGCCGGAGAGTCGGAATTCATCCCTGCTGTAACGAACCATTTGGGTTACGAAAGAAGAAGAAGAAGAAGAAGAAGAAGAAGAAGAAGAAGAAGAAGAAGAAGAA